TGTGGCACTGCCGTGGCAGTGGCTTGGGGTTGAGAACGGCTTCCATATTTGAAAGCCACAAAGAAACATCCAAAGGTCAGCCGTCGGCGGCCAGGGAGTCACGGGAGATTCAGATTCTGGTGTCCATGGATAGGGCTGCTGGCACGAAGCCGGCCCGCCCTCCGAGTGTGCCCACAGCGGCTCCCCGCCTCCGTGGCCTGACCAGAGAGAGAAGGGCCAAGCCCCCGCCAGGCCCGGCCCAGGGAGGGTGGGGGGAGGCAGCCGGTACCTTCCCAGAGGTCCCACCACCTTGGGCGGGCTGTGCAGGTACTGCTTGAAGCGCAGCTCGAAGGCTTGGCCCACGGTGCTGATGACGCTCTGCGCCAGGCCCCCGCAGCACTCCAGGATGTGGCAGGCTGGGAGGGCACCGCGTTGTGGGGTCAGGGCCCCCGGCCAGCCAAGGGCCTCCGGCACCCCGCCCAGCCCCACGGCACCTCACCTCTCTGGTTGATGGGATCCTTGGCCACATAGGCCACGTAATCTGTCATGTCCTGGGGAGAAAGTGGGCAGGTGGGAGGAGCCACCAGCCTGGACACCCCAGCAGGTCTCCCTGGCTGCCACGCCCAGCGGGGCAGGACAGAAGGGCCGAGTCCACTGGAGCCCTGGCCTTACCGTGTCGCCGCCAGACGCGAAGGAGATGGACTGCATGTGGTGGTTGGCGATGATCTGACCAAAGAGAGACATTCATATCACAAGGGTCCCCCTTTTCAGGGCCAGGGGACGCTGGGGTTCAGGGCAGTCTCTGGACAGAGCCACAGGGAGGGAACTGGGAAGAGCTACACGATCTGGGCAACAGGGGGACCCAGAGTCCAGCCAGACGGGCGCCCCCAAGCCAGGCGCCCCCAAGCCAGGCCCGCTGCAGCGGCCTCGGCAGCCAAGCGCGTGGGGGAAGGGCCCGGCCCTCCCCGGGGGGCACACTGTCTCGGGCCTGGCGGCTGGCCGGGGTCTGCCCGGCCGCCCTGCCGAAGCGGCAGCCACTCCCAGGCGCCCCCAAGCCAGGGGCTGCTTGAAGAGGATGGAGCGGGCTGGGACAAGCTGGGGCACAGCAGCCCCAGAGGCGGCATCTGAGGTCTCACACCTGAGTGTGGTGGCCCCACCGGCTTGGGGGAGCACAGAATCCCCCTTCTTGTCCTGCTGGCGAGCAGCCCCCTGCCCCTGCTGGCGTTTCTGCGTCCGCAGGTTCTGTGTCTCTAGGTCTCTGCGCCTCAGACGAGGGGTGCACATTGCAGGAGTACCCTGAGATGACAGGAGCAGGGCGGCCTGGGCGGTCACGTCGGCGGAGGGCTCCGCCCTGCTGGAGGTCACCCAGGCCCCTCATGCTCATGTCTTGCTCTCTGTCCTACTCTTCTTCCTTTCTCCTTCCTCTGTCCCTTCCTCCCTGCCCTCCCTGTCTGCCTCCCTCTGCACAGCGAGGGGGCTTCCCCCTCTGTCCCTGGAATAACACAGAACACAGACTCTGCCCTACAGCATGGCGTGAACATCCTGGGGCAATTACTAGATTCTTGCAGCTTTCAGCCATGAAAGCGAAAATGAGCTACATAAAATAAATCAAAATTTCCTCTCACTTTAATCACCCCTGTGCTGTCTGCATACCAGGCAGGATACGCTGTTAGAGTTCAGATGTTTTCTTCTCCTTATTTTTTACGGCTTGGATGTCAGGAATAAATTATACCGTACATGAAGAAGGTGTTCTACCATGGAGTTCTTTGGCGTTTGGAAAGGCAGCTCCACTCAAATAGTTTATTTAGGAAGATGGCTTTATGTAAACTAGCAAAAGGTCTGTGGCGTTTTTTCATACACTTGAACAGATGTAATAAAGCTAACACGTCAGGTCATTGTAATCAGCCACTGAAAATGAATGTGAATGCGACGTACTATGAAATCACGTCATTACTAGTTCTTGGCAGTGGTGGCTGGGTGCGAGACGATTGGCTGTATTTGTATCTGTGTCAGAGCAGTTCCATATAGACGATTAAAACGATGGGTGCTATTTGCACACATGAATCCATTTCTTTTTTGAGGACAGAAAAAAAAAACCATACAACTTTGGAAGATTCTGGGGTGAGGACGCCATGACAGTCTCTCTTGGGTGGAGGAAACTGCCAGATGTACCCACCCGTGCCACACAGCACCTGAAAAGGCCTTAGCACGCGTCTCCATCTCGAGTATAAATGAGTTATTGAGTCTCTTAGTCAAAAACTTAACTAGAACAGCTGCTGCCGGAAACACGGGAAACAGGAGAACCCGGAGAGAAAGGGGACGCAGAGAAGGGGGGCGCGGGGGGTCGTCCCTCCCGCCAGAGCAAGCTGTTTTAAGACGGAACCAAACGGGCTCTCGGATAAAGCCCCTGGGACAGCCGTTCCCGGTGACCCGAGCGCAGTCAGGGCGGCGTCATGGGCAATGGAGGGGACAGCCAAGAGGTGGGAGCCGTAAGCGCTGGGAGACAGCCCCGCGCTGGAACAGCCCTGTTCAGCTCACAGGACCCTGGGGATAAGACGCGGGGAAGATGGGGGACAGTGAAGAGTGTGCCCAGAGCAGCCTCCCAGCTGTGGGCCAGGGGCGAAGGGTGCGGACTGAGGAGCAGGCCGCAGGGGGAGGACGCGGGAGCCGCTCGGGGGCCGTGAGAGGC